GGGCCACCCTTCGTCATCAGGAGGGTTAATATACTTTGTGCATTTAGCGGCGGAGCACGATGAATCGCCCCGGGAGCGAAAACGTGACACGACACACAGGCCCGCCTTTAATATTGTATGACTCTCCCCGTGGCGAAATCGCGGAGAGCGAGAATCGCGGGATGGCATCTTTTATTTGCCGCCGGAACTTTCGGGGCTCTGGACGTGCGTTGTTTTGCTCGGAAACATCGATCCCAAGAACACATCACTGGGAAACGACATTATCCTGTCGAGAGAAACGCAACCAATAATTCAACGGCGTGTTTTTGTTGCGCGACGCGCAAGAACTGCAGCCGCGCTTCAGGGAATCCTGGGGCGAGGAACTGTCGTGTCGCCATCACGTTCCCGCGTAAATCGACAAATTTTTACCCCGTTACTTGTCGGCGCGCAATTACCCTTGCATTGAATTCAGATATCGTCTGTTGTTCTTGCTCAAACAATGAATTCAGATGCTTCCTTCCGTACCCAAGTTTTTCCTTTTAGAATATCGACAGCGATTTCAATCACTAAAACAAATACGACACCAAGCCAGAAATCGTTACATTTTATTCTTATTACAGCGTAAAGTATTGTACAAGTCTGCCACTTGAAGGCGATCGTAAGTTCTTTAAATATATATAGGGGAAAGTCTCCTATTATGAGATGATCCTTGTCAATTTAACGGAAACCGCGTTACCTCGTATTAGGTACGTGTCTCACAATAAGGGACTTCCCTCTAACTCGTTAATTTTGGCTCGCATTACATTTATACTTTCCTGAATATTGGCAACTTTTTTTAACACTTTCGACGGGTTCGTCAGAAGATAATTTTATTACCGCAGGTGTACCGTTATTGTTACGATCGGATAAATATAATTCCCGGTGGTGCGGTATCTCGAATCACGATAGGTAGTAGAAATTCGCGGAATAAAATTGCAATAATAACAACAAAAGCCACTACCCTGTTTCCTGAACCGTACCTCGAAATGGTTTTCAGATTTTTGCCGTAAGAAAGAATGGCTGTACTACGGAGCGAAAGAAAAGGGGAACAAAATTCTCATGAAAATTCTGCAACGGCGATGGCGGTGTTTCCCGTAATGCTCGCTGATCCTTACATTATATCCGATATCCTCGCGCATCACCTCGCATTTATTGCCCCTATTGTGGTTCTACAAGTGTTCGAGTCTCGCGACACGGGCACGAAGGCGCGACGCAATTATTGAAAATTGTATTATTATTATTGTACAAAACCGTCGCAGATCTAACGGAAAAATATTTCTACGACTGACAACTCGATTTCGTGTAAACTCTACTGTTGCATTAGCGAGAGTAACGTAATGCTGCATAGCAATTATAGAATAATTGTCACTTTCGACGTAATGTCAATATCTCCTAATCATTATAAACAAATTTATTTTGGAAATGCGATAAGTAAAACAAATAAACTGCAGATGCTCGGTCAATATTTCAATTATCTGACCAATCGTTTATGCGTTTTTGTTTTCTGTATGCTCGTATCGCATAACCACGCGCGATCGCTACGTCATTATATCATTACATGCCTCGGCTAACAATTAATCGCATTATCCGAATGAGGCTTTACCGCGAGCTTGCAGGTATTTATCGTATCAATGGATTGGATAACGAAGTTTGCGCGGTATACGTACGGTTGGGGGTCGATATGGCCGACACGAGCTTACGTGTGGCAGTAAATAGCGAAGCACATGGTGCGCGAAAATGTCACTTATCAAGTAGTCCCCTTGAATCATTTCTGTAATTGAGAGACTCGGCAGAAAAAAATTAACTATCGGATAATCGCTCGTGAAAGTTTTACACGAAGTGTAGAAGCGATCTCTGCGCAAAAAAGCGGCGCCTCCCTCGACAGTCATTTCGCGACGTATAAACGAGGATACGTTTTAAAAAATATACAAACATAAATGCACACGTGTGCGTTGTTGACAGTCAGCGATTAATCAGGCGAGAGGAGAAAAAGGTGGCGAGCTTTCGCGGTATGCGTCGCGATTTAGCGCGCAATTAGCAAACGCGCTCTCTTGACAGTCGCCCTCTTTCCCTGCGCGGGGCCTCAATTTGGCCTTTAATAACGGAATACATAGACGGAATTAACTTTGTCTTTCATCAAAGCTTTTTTTCGTGCGGCCTTAAAAAATATCTCGGCCGGCCAGTCGGAGTAAAAGCTCGCTGAATTATTTGGAGTGCGAGCAGAAGCTCGGGGCGACGATGTGGCGCAGTCGACATGGAATGTACAATATTTTGCTTTGTGATGCCGACGAAATTATTTTCATTTATCAGGAAGTGCGCTCTCTCTCTCTCTCTCTCTCGCATTAATGATTCGCAAATAAAATAGGAATGCGAATAAACGGTACGGCAAAAACTGACGTTGAATTTGACGTGTACTGATTTCACGGTAGTCCACGCACGCGCGCATTATTATTGCGCCCGTGGGAGCAGGCTCATCTGGCCGGAATCAACTTTATAACAAATAAATTGAAATCGCGGCGTAGGTTTCAGAGAATCAAGTGAATATCCGTGATTTACGAGGAACTGCCGGGGACCGGCCACCGGATGAGAGCAGCATTGACAGGAAATGTCCGACAATCGAGATAAAAAAATGCTTGACGCGGCGTATTGGATCGGTCGGTGCACGGCGCGCCATCGACCAACGAAAACAAGATGGGTACGGAACGAAGAAAGCCCAAAAGCGCACGGGAAGGACAGAAATGCGGGTCGGTCGTTGTTTTCTGCCTCCCGTCGCGGAAATCACGAGCGAACGTGGATTCGCGAAGAGAAATTAGAATCGAATTAAAAAGCTGGCCAAGCCAATTAAAATGTTTTGCGAAAGTTCAAGAGATTCTCCCTCAGGAACGGTGGGGTTTCGCGGCGCGGTGGTTTTTTCCACCCTCCCCATTACGTCGTTTGCCGTCTGGTCGTCGAATCGGACGCCATTAAGCCAACCGTTCTTCCGTATAAATACCGCATAGAGAAAATAGAGGCAGAAAGAAGTCCGGTAAAACGTGGGCAAAGTTTCTGTTTAATTTCAGAAAGATTTACTTCGCTGCGCTCGCTGTATCGACGAAATTAGCGGCACTCGAGCAACGTTCCGAGAAACGCTGTATCTAACATCGGCGTATCGAACATGTGGTTGAGACAAAGGGAACTTGAACTTTTTTTTTAATCTCGGGGATTAGAGGTGATCGTGCGTCACTCGAGACCGTCGTTGATAAATCACAAATGAATGACACGTAGTCCGCGTCGACTCGAAGTGCGTTTAAGCGAGGTTTAAATCAGTAAACAGTTCCGAAGCCGTTATCCGCGCGCGTCGCACTCAAACTCCGCGGTACGGGCCAGGAAGCTTAAAGCTTCGAACATTACCAAACGGTAGCAGCTGTCCCGGAAGCTTCCTTTAAATATTAAACAACGTAGCGACGTCCCCGATAGCGCTAATAGTTATTACGCGATATCGTACCGGGGAAAACTGTCCCCAAGGCAAGTGACTTTGTTATAAAACACAAACCGCGTGCTCGGGTACACACCCCGCCACCACAGGAAGGATAAAACTAGAACTTTCCGTCGTATCGTATAACGTAGTCCTTTTGAGCACGAGCCTGCCGACGAAAATTATGCGGGGACATGCAGTTTCAGAATAAGGGCCCTTCTCTTTCTTTCATGCGGCGCTGTCGTAAAAGCAAAATTTTACGCGGCGCGGTTGAGTGATATATCCCTTTTTCCCGGCTTACGTATATAAGTCGCAAGGATACGCGATGTGTACTTTGGTTCGCTACTCGTGACCTCGTGCTGGAACCGTACGTGAAGGAACCGATTATCTCCACGTACTTATTTCGTTCAATCGTAAATTTTCATTTACGCAAAGTTTAATTAATTCCGAGCCTTAACACGCTCTTCGATAGTTTGCGTATTTTTTTGTGACTTTTGAATGGACGTACGAGCAGATTTTTATCGCAAAAGAACGCAGGGTAAATTTAAATGAATTTTTTAAATAGAGATGCGAGACAATGGCGGAGAATAATTTAATTTGTAGCTGAGCTCTCCTGAAATAAAATTATTACAGAAGAGGCATATTTGAATCCCGCGAGAACCAATGATATTCATTATTTAATCGGGAAACGCGTAAGACAAATGCACTCTAAACAATAACTGTTTGAAATTTTAAATATTTTTATTGTCGCCGTTTTCAAAATGTTTATTAGTGTGCAAAATTTCAAATATTTTATAAATGTTTGGTTTTAGTTGGTGTTTGATATATTACACACGTAAAAGTGTTTGATTTTCTGAATAACTGAAATTTTATGCAGATTAAATGTTTTATTTTTAATAATGCTATAACAAGCGTTGAGTTACGTTTTGCAAAAAAAAAAACAGTAGGTATATGTTTGTCAAAATTTTTTAAGTCTTTCAGTCTTAAAAAAGTTTTTATTAGAAGTTTGTAAGTATGTTTCATAAGTGTGTAATTAGAAAGTGTTTGAAATGCAAATCTGTTTGAATTTCTAATAGTCGTACACAAATTGTGTTTTATTTTGTTCCCGTTTGAAAATCAAACGAACATATCTGTTCAATTTGACTCGTGTTCGATTCTAGCAACACAATTTTATCAGGTTCTGCAAAGTTTGAAAGTCAATCACTTATATGTGCAAGTGTTTTAAATTCAAGCGCTTTTCTAATTGTGTTTGATAAGTCAAACATTTTTCTGTTTTAATGTTTATAATTCAAACACAATGAACCGATTTTTAGAGTGTAAGCAGACAAAATCGGTCGAAGACGCGACCAATTAACGGCTCCCTTTCTTTCGTTTCCGTCTTGAAATAGACGGTAATTAAGAGGTACAGAAGCGTTGATTGTATAAAAAATAATCCCCCTTTGAGAAATAGGCTTCTCTTGCCGAAGAATGGGGGATTCGCTTGTCTACCGGCGGAAAAATGAACGATAACAATGGCAATCCCACTTACTTTCGTAACCGGTGAGCGTGGCCTCGGCTGAAACAGCGTCGCCGACTCCGTTCTCAGCTAGGCACTCGTAGTTGGTATTGTCGCGCGACGGCTTGACAGGTTCGATCCGCAGTAAAGCACCATTTTCATACTGGTGCACCACATACCGGGACTGGGATTCTGTCGACATAAGACGGAAGATTGAGGCGGACGTCCGCGCCGTAAAAAAAGGAAAAAAAACGCCCGTCACAAAAGGCGAGGGGGAAAAATACCGGCGCGATCGAGGGCGCGCGCGAAAATGATCGGCGGCGGCAAAGGGCGATATAAGATCGAAAATTGCGCCGTTGCGGAATCTAATAAAAGGGGAGTATGTGTGTCTCTCGTATCCAATTCCGCGGCCCGAGAAATATTGAATGGGAATTGGATCGCGCGTCTGTATAAATTTCGAGAGAGCGGGCGGGCCCGTCCCCTGTTATCGTCTCCCCCGTCCGTCCGCGCTCACCGCGAATTGGCGTCCAGAATGTTACAAGCGGTCGCTGGCCATTATCTCGTCGGGTGTTCCTCGTCGGATTAGTGAGTCGTCGGCGACCCGGGGCGATCGTTCGGGCACATACATTCCGCGGATTCAGACCGAATGTTATGCGAAACCATCGCGCGTCATCGGGATCATCTCGCGGGATTTGCCGGTCCTTCCGAATATATGAGAGTGTAATACACGCGGAGCTAGAGATTCGATCTTCAAATTGACATTTCCGAGTTTCGCGATAAGTGGTTCACTTAGTTCTCGGATAACGCGCAAATACATATGTGCGACTAATTTACGTCACTAGATCTATGTTTGGCGCTTAACATTCTGTCAATATTGGCAGTTCTCTGTTGGGAGGAAACGCTGTTATATATAAAATAGCGTTTTGACTGACGCAGAAAAGAAGCTAAATTAAAACGCTTTTTCTGAAACAACGCTCGGTTTATGGAAATACATTCGTAGTTTACTAAAGGTCAAGCGAATTAACCGCAAATTCATGAATATTGCAGGAACAGATTTCACATTCTATGGAAGCTATTGTATTACAAATGGATGTAGCTGGTAGTCAATGTATGCAACTATTTTCGAGGAATTACTATCCTGGTCATTGTAATTCAATTTATGGACATATTATAACGTCGCTGATTGATTGATCGGGGGGGAGCCTGACAACCGAATTCGCTATATAAGAATAGTTAGGACCGATTACAAAAAGGAGCGAGATGTGCGCGATGCAGGACGAAATGTACAAACGGAGAAAGACGAAAAGGAAAATCCAGGTCAGGAGGACTTTTTAATTTCGATAAATTCTTCATTCGGTCTCACCGTGACGTCTGGTACTCGCGAAACGAGAAGTTACCGATTTCGCGCGGGTCGAGCGCCGAAGAGCGCACCCTCGGGCATTCTCGATCGGTGGACGACGATTCGAAGACGCAAGCCGGGTCGGAAAGGAGAGGGTTGGCGAAAGTGTACGGACTTACGTGAGATTCTTTTGCCGTTCTTTCGCCAGTGTATCTGGGGCGACGGTGCTCCTTCCGCAGTGCAGTAGAAGCTCGCTATCCCGCCTGCCTTCACCTGCTGCGATTGTGGCTTCACCAGGATCGTCGGCGGACCTGCGAACAAAAAGATCACGCGGGGTTCTCTGATTAGACTCAGCTCGCAATAGGATCTCAGTGTAATGATCGCGCGGCCGGCCTGCCATTTGAGGCGCATTTTGAGGCTTTGTCTGCTTCAACGCGCATTTCGTAAAAATAAGTTTTCTTTTCCGCGTCGATAAAAAACCGGGAGACAGATTAGAGAATGCAAAGAGCCTGCGAGTGTCTCTTTAATTGACATCTATTTAACTAGATGCTATTTTTGTAAAATAATTTAGAAATATCTTTTGCATCTACATGTTATTTACAGTTTCTCACAATGATATTGCCTTCATTACGTAAGGTTAGTTTGACGATAAAAAATAATTTGAAACACTTACAAACACTTGCAGCCTGTTTTCGTTATTAAATCATCAATTTTATTTTGAACACAATAAAGAGTTATTAAATTTGCGTGTAATAAAAATATTAATAGTAGTTGAAATTAACAGCGCTAAAGGCAGGATAAAATCGTGGAATTGTACCTAGATAAAGATTATTTCAGTTATTTGCACTGGAAATCAGGTGGTCGTTTCATAAAGAATCGCAAAGTAGCAGGAAGTTATATAAAACTGAACCCTTCGTTCATGAAAATTGCGCGTTTTAACGTTTCTCGTTTCTCGTGTTAAAATTTAAGTAAAAAGTTCACGGTTGCGCTCCCTCGCCCGCTCAGCCAGCGTTGGAAAACGTTAATTTGCAAAGGAAAATTGCAGTCCTCGGTTACGCAGATATTTTCTTTCTACATCAGCTCTGCTTGGGTAATTAGTCTCCTTCTCGCAATTCGGGTCATTAGTCTACTTTCCATCATTTCGAATGGCTCCCGTAGATTTCAGTTGAAATGCAGAAGGAAATGACGGACAGCGTCAAGCGCGAAGCTTGCGAGAAAATTCTCGATATGCAAAAATGGCCGGAGATCGGTCAAAAAGCGGAACACTCCAGTTTCGGAGCGAGGCGGCGGGGTTTCCCGAAAGAGAATCGAGATCCCGAGAATAACGTTCCCGATAATTGTATCGGGTTCCGAGCGGGCGTTTGCAGCCTTCTACGAATTAACGTCGTAAAAGTCCGATCTGATTGCGCTCGCGAAATTTATACTCGTCGGGCGAGAACGGCGTATCTCTCCCGTCATCGATCGCGCGGCGTGGCGCGGCGCGGTGGTTACACGAATGCACCGGGCCAGAAGTCGGTGACCGAAATTAGTGGATTTAGTGCGGCGGCAAGTCCAAACTGCCTCCGCTGCTACGCTTTTAACCTCGGGAATAAAGAGACGGCCGGTGCAAGATGGATGAACGTGACGCGCTCCTTTGTCAGACCGACGCCGCGCTCCGCTGCGACGTCGAGCGGCCTCCGGAGAAAGAGGAGGGGAAGGGGGAAAGGGAGAATCGTCGTAGAGAAGGGACGACACCTAGAGATGCGATATCTGGAACGACTACCGTTCGTATTAAATTGGTCCCGAAACTTTGTTCGATCGTGCCGATCTCACGTCGGGAAAATCGGCACGTCGTTTATGAGCATTATTTCCGCGAGTTGAGAGCTCGAGTGAAAAGCGCAGCGTCCTGCGAGAGGCTGGACCATCGACAGCGTGATGACGACGTGCCTCGAGATGTGTACGGGCTTTTTATCTTATCGGGAAGGGGAAACCGCTGACCAAAATCTTGTACACCAATGTCCACTAATGCCCAGTGGGCATTACTTTATCTTGTTTTATCTTATTTTATCTTTATAATACCCCAGCAAGATCTAATGCCCAAACTAATGCCCAGTAATGCCGCAAATCTGTACACCACAATGCCCTTAGCGGTTTCCCCCCTCGTCTTACCGTTTTAAGCTTATTCCACGACGGACGCAAAGAAATCGGCCAACGACAGTCGAACATTCCTCCCATATTTGACCGCGATTGGTCAATTTCTTGCGTTGCGGCTTAGCGTCTTGCGTCCATTGTAGAATAAGCTTTACAGTCGAACGTTGCGCCAACATCGATCCCTGATCTGCTCGGCTTAGCGAAACGACTATCCGTAACGAGACTAATGGATAATAATAAAATGCGACTTTCCATCGCGAAGGGTGTTAAAAGAATGTTTATCTTGGCGCAGTCGAGTTAATGCCGACGTTTATGCGATCGTTTCACGACCGAAAAATATCTGCCCGACGTTTACGGGTGCACCCCCGGTACACGATAAACTCGACTTATACTACTTGCCGCGGCGCGGCATCGGCGTCTCCTTTTTCTGGGTCATTAGACATACTTTTACGACGTCGGAGTACATCACACGCAGTAAAAAACTTTTTAATCCGAAGTGCAATCGTTCCGGGAGAGTTCGCGATCCCCGTGGCTCATGCGAGATTTTATTGCAGCATTTTTAAAACGGCGACTGCCCATCGTATCATCAAGTGACACACTTTATCGGACATAAAAAGAAGAATGTATCGAAAAATAATACGCGGTTTATCGCGGTAAACGTTGACGCGGCATCTCGCAGTGTACGAGAAACACTCTTCGAATGTTACGGGCATTTAAGTAGCCTTTTATTTCTATAAAATGCAAGCTTTTGTAAAATTTAACTCTTGTATTGTAGGAGACTGTTGTACAATTACGAAAAAACAAACACACGGACAGAAATTAATACAAGTGAAAGAACCCGAGTTGAAATTTTGACCCTGTATTGAACCTTTAATTCTATTATATAGTAGGACCTAAGAGAGGTCGAACTGCAAGTACAAAATTTACTCCTACCTTAAAACTGATAGTGTCGAAATTTCTACTTTTGCCAATTTAGCATTAAAGTAGGTCCTTTTGAGTAGGAGCTAAAGTAACTTTTTAGAATTAAAGATTCAAGGGAGGAGTAAAAAATATAATGTCATCAAATTAGGTTATTGCTGGTCTATGTAGGTGTATAGGTCAGCTAAGTAGGTGTAAATTATCCTTAAAAGTGTCAAAATAGCACCAAAATTTCGACTCGGGAAAGAACGGAGATAAGTCGAACGTGTTGCGTTGAATTTTATTAACAGCCACTTAATCTCGCCAACGGGGAAGAAATCGCGGCGAGGGGGAAAGGGTGCGAGATAACCGTATAGATAAAAGCGGCCCTTTTTACGGAAGGAACGGGAACAAAAATGCAGCGGGAATAATGAGCGCGAGCTCGTCGTTTTCGCCGTGAAAAGTTAAACTTGCAAAAATGCATATGTACAGGAGGCTCGACGATTCTACAGCTGACAGATACGACCATTCTAATCTACGAACGCAGGTAGTGGACACTTGACGCACGTACGCGCACACACGCGCGCTACGGTCGGAACGTAATTTAAGCTAAATATTATTCCGCCGACGAAGCACGGGTAATTTTTGATCGAATTTTGCATTCGAAATTACTCTTATCCGAACGTATTGTACCTCCGCGCGCAATTGTCGTTCTACCGGAATTGCTCGTAACAGGTCCATTAGTCGACCACGGTCGCTGTGTACACATAGGACACGTATACGCATGTACAACAAGGCTACGACTTACCGCCCTCGCGTACGTGTGCGTGCGTAGCTACGTGTACGTGTGCGGCGATGCTTTTTATACAATTTGCTGCGATTTTATCTCGTGAACTCGCGGCGTAACGTTCGCAGACACGTTCCGGAAATGTGCGGTGCCTTTATCGCAATGCGCGTGGCTAATACGATTGCTATTATAGAATAGAATTTCAATAAATTGAGATAGAACGGTACAACAAGTAGCTTCCCAAATACTGGACTTCCCTGAGAGTAACAGTTTGTTTGAAGAGACATTTGCAGCGCGGCGTTGGTATCGACGCGACGTAAATGAAATGCAAATTATACACAATCGGGGAAAGGGTTTGCGACACCATTCGCGGAATGGCGTTTCCGTGCGATCAGAATCTTCAAAAGTTCCGCTGTATACGGAGGAGCGAGTGCCAGTTAAATTCCGACACAGCAAATACCGAGTCTATCTCCCGACTGCAGCAGTTTTCGATCTTCCGCCGCTAAAAGTGACCGTTTGCCCGATTCCATTAAAAGTGGATGAACGGGGAAACAGAGGGATAGAACAAAAATAGGAAAGAGGTCGTTCGCGAAGGAGGACCATCCCCCCCACTGCGTCTGGTACTATCGATTCGATCCGGCTGGTCAGCAATTCAAAATGCAATACAGATAAAGCTCGCGGGGGATATAACAGTGCCAATGTGCAATTTGTTTCATTTAATTGTCTGCGTAATTTAGCCGCTGTGTTCATTTTGCTTCGTTTTTCGACCGTAGACGCCGGAGTAGCCCGGCCCGCGCAATAACCCAAGACAATTTTTCTAACCATTTTTCCCCTCTCTCCTCCGTGAAATCCTGAATATATAATATCTAAGTCGTTCTTCTATTGTGCACGGGCAAGATATTACTTTCTACGCGACTTTAAAGGGTTTGCAAATCATTAACGGCAAACTAATATCTGTTAATTTGGAACGATCGAAATTAAGCTGGTAAATGTGCACGCATTCATCGGCCGCAATCGTAAACGTATCTGACGCATGCGCTATTAACCTATTATATTCCAATAATTGATTTATCGTACCTGACCGTTGGCTGGAAATATATGTCGCAAATATAACGGAATATAATCTTTATGAATTCCAAGCCAATTGTGGCGAAGATTTAATTTAGCGATATTTTTGATGTAACGAATTAGAGCGCGTGCCCGAAAATGCGTCGAATATTTGAGGGTTAATTTACTTTAGCCGCTGACATTTATTTATCCGAAATTCCCCATTCCCGCTATCCTCTCTTCGCGAATAAATCATTTTCGGTGAGAAGATAAAAAAAAATCGCACGAGAGGCCGATGAATGTGATTTTGACTGAAACGATAAGGGAAAAACACGCGAGAGGTGTAGGGGCGCGTTGTCAAGGCGGGAGTAATAGCTCGGCTCGAAAAATATTGGAAAAGCTTGCACGTGCCCGCCGCTCGCTGCTCTTTCCTGAGAGACTCGCGCGCTG